GCCCAAAACCAGTCAAAATGTCTTCCTTGGGCAATCTAGTGTTAAAAGATATTTAAAGATTGTTAATCAAAACTGTTCCACCGCGCTAACAAATGGTTTGTGAACCATTTAAATCCAGGTAAACTGTCAAGCAACTTGAAGAACGTGCCGTTGATCCTAAACTTCTCAAACATGATCGAGCAATCATCGAAATTCATTCACTTGCTACTTCGCAACGAGAACTTGTCTCTAACTGACAAAGAGTACGTCGAAGTCCGGGATGGACTACGATGGTATCAGAGGTATCAGAACCTAGGAACCACGAAGCTAGTTGACAAAACACGAGGAACCTTCTACGACCTGAAAGAAATCTCTTCATCGCTAGAAGTCCACTACAAATGGTTGAGGAAGTTCATTAAAAAATTGCTGGCACATTCCAGCTTGGAGTCATTCAATCTCAGTACTCGAACGAAAATCAAACATTTTTCTGCTACTTGCTTAAACGAGGTAACCAGCAATGATGATTATAGGAAATTCAGGAAGCTCGTGAAGAAGCAACTGCCGATCCCATCGCCGCATCTCTCGGAAAGCTCGATGAGCTTCGACGAGAAATTACGGTCGGTATCCAGGCGACTCCGAGTGACCGACGAGGACCTGATCGATCCATCGAGGACCAAATGGAAAATCATAGTTCTCGCTTTGAACCTGTCCACCCGAAAGAGATTGATCGAGATCTATGAAAGGGATTACAAAATTAAGCTCGACGAGCATCGAGACTGGTCGCAGGAGCTGACAGAAATCGAGGAGATCGCTGTGAGCATTTCTGAGCCAAGAGAGAACAGCGATAACTCTGATAAAATTGATGTAAACGTCGAGGCGTGGCCTATTTACGAATTCTTCTTCCTGCTTTCCACGTATCGTTTCTTGAAACTATTCAAAGAAGACAACAATAGCCGTGATTACTGCGAGAAGATTTACAAGGACGATGCATTGAGCAAATTCGAGGAAGTCCCAACGATACCAGCTGGTCTGATTGGTTTGATCAAAACGTTGAATTCCCGTGAAACTTCACTGAACCAGTCAGTCTTCTTGCAGCCAGAGTTGCTCTCATCGTTCTTCAAGTTCGCTCAGCGGTCATTTGCTATAGAGAATTCACATGTTCTCCTAAACTGGCGTGACATTAAGGAAACTGAAGAAATTCTTGAATTAAATAAAAATGAAGAGTCGAATTTCATCCACAATTCAACGCTTTTCATGCTGATCTTCGATCTGCTCTCAAGTAAATCTGGTAACAGAGGAGAAATCAATTTTGGAAACTACAAGAGCCGCAAGAGGATGTTCGACACACTTCGCGCACTGCTATGGAAGAACTCTCTGATTCTGAACTCCCAGGAGTTCGACGTGTGCCGCAACGACGCTTCATTGCTAATTCACTGCATCGACTATTATCTATCCCACGTGGACGAAGTCCTCGACACGTTCCTCAACGAATATAACAGCAGGAAGCAAAACGAGAGATGGCTTCAGTTTCTAAAAGCGATCAGGTCCCTACGAGAGATCAAAGAGAGATCAAATGAAGGTTTGAAAGCGATTGACAGAGGGCTTGGCTGGCTAGCTTTGGGTTATCTGCAGATGTTCATTTTCCAGGACCCAGGAACCATCGACCCGGTACACAAAGTTATTTTAAAATCAAAATACGCACGCGAGGATGTCAACGGCTTGGAGCAGCTGATGCTAGTCGAGAATATCCAATGCTCCATCCTGGGGATTCGCCTCTCAGACGAGAAGAGATCGTCCAGGGTAGATCGTTTGGCAACGATTTCCAGCAAGGCTAAGAATCTGGAGAGTCTGCGCGCAGTGAGGCCGGCCTCGAGATTCCAGAACCTCCGCGAGGATTTGGAGAACTTCTCGAGCACCGTAGGCTCGTATGAGACGATATTCTGTCACGGCAGACGCTTAAGAAAAGCGAGTGAATCGAATAAGGACTTTGAGACGTTGCAAGTAGCGTTCATTTGGAAGAAGTCGCTGGAGAGATTCGCCGACAAGCTGGAGAGGAATTTCTTAGTCGGTTTCCCAGATGTTGTATCCCCTGTAATCACGGCGGTGTCGAACCTAAGGCATGGCGTGTCGATTTTAATCGGAGCAGTGAAGCATTTTATGAACTCGACGAATCGAGACTTAAGCTTGTTACTACGTTTCCCTGTTTCTTCTCAACAAAATTACATGAGTCTTGTTGAACATAGCTTAAAGATGTACTGTCAATCGGAGCTGGCTTGTAAAGAGAAACTTAATCTGCTGAGAATTTGCTTGAAAGAAATGGAGAACTTTTCTGCGATCGGGAAACAAACCGCGTGGAACGTCTTGCAAAAGAGTTTGAAAGAAGTCAGGAGCGTCTGGATGGAACAGGAGACACAGAGGGAGACTCTGGCGAGGGAGAAGGAGAACATGTATGATATGAGAGTTGCAACGAAGTTAGAAGAGGAGGAGGAATACGAGAAAGCGTTTCCAGATCACCAACAGGACTTCATAGAATTCTCGGACTTACAGAAACCTCTGAATGAAGTACAAAAAGCGCCTGAAGATAAAGAAACCTTCGTAGAACTGATATCTACTATGGACGCTAGGATTATTCAAGAAATGCATTGGAACATTTTGAACAACTGTTCTGGAGAAGATTCTATAAAAATCGAACCGGATTTCGTCGGTCCTTTGGTGCAGAGATTTGAGATTTATGGCCCCCAGCTGAAAACTTTAGAAGATTCCCATTTGGTATCTAGTTTGCTCGTTCTGATAGCGCAGAAATCGAATTTCGGGGATAGAAATACTAAAAAAGGGGTGTATGATTTCTACAGAGATCCGAACGTGGCAGAAGTCGAAGAGTGTCAGTCTCTGTTCGACAGACTCCAACTGAGAGTGAACGAATTTCTAGAAGAGTGGCCGGAGAATCCGATTTTGAACTCGATCAAGGTGATCGTCGACAGGCTCTTAGGCTTCCCGGTGGACTCCTCCTTGTCCAAATTTCTAGTCGGCGTGGAATTATTGCTGACGAAGATCAAGCAGTGGGAGGAGAACGCTAGGCATGATGTGAGCTTGGCAGAGTTCGTTGAGGCTTTCGGGGAGAAGGTTCTCCGCTGGAGGAAGCTAGAGATTTCAAGGTGGAAAGACTCGCTGGAGGTACTTGAGGATGATTTAAAAACGGAAGCTTCGAGGTGGTGGTTCTTCCTATTCGATTTAGTAGACGAGTACTCTAACGAGCTGAGCAGTAAAACAGTGGAGAGTTTGGAACGTTTCTTAACGGAGTCGCCTCTGATTGAATACGAAGCAAGACTCCGATTGGTTTATCTGTTTTATCGCCATGTCCGTGCAGGTCCTGACGCTGCGAGACAAGACGAGCTCTCACGTATCCTTTGGAACGTTTTCTTCTATTATAGTCGATTCTTAAACGATGTCAAGGCTAAGATACAGGCTTTGAAGGAGCCAGTCGCTAAGAAGGTGAAGGATACTATAAAAATTACTAGATGGAACGATGTGAGTTACTGGTCAGTGCGAAACACCGCCGAGAAGACTCGGAGAACCTTGCATAAGTTCGTTAGAGAGTTCAAGAAGGGTCTGCAACAAAACGTCGCCTGCTGTCTGACTCTGAAGTCAAAAGTCGAACCGTTGGAAACGAGTTCCAGGAGAGAACTCAGGGTTTGTGATTTCTTGATCGAAACGAAACCTGGAAAACAGAATAAAACTGAGAAACTCGTTCAAAAAGCCCGTCTGTTTTGCGAAGAAATCATTACAAGCAGTAACTACGATTCCATTCGAAGAGACATTGAAACTTTCATAGAGGAGAGCTTGGAGGAAAGCAGAAGACTTAGGAATGTTGAAGTGGACAAGAGCCTGACGAAGGCCAAGCAGCAAGCTCAATTGAAAAGCATACTTCAACAGAAGAAAATGGCGTTGGCGAATTATTTCAAAACGCTCAGTCGTCTAGGTATCTCTTACAGAAAAGGGATCTTAGCTTGGAAGAATCGTAAAGAAACTGTAATTAATTTTAAGACTATGGTGTTGGATCTTGAACGCATACAGAGATTAAAATGTGGCCAGGAGTTTGAGAATCTGGACATTGCGCTGATGGAGCAGTGGTCCGGCTGCGAGAAATATTACTACGAGTCTCTGGTTAAATTAAACTCCCTCGACAGCATTTTTAGCACTGGACGATCAGTTTTGGGAATGCAGGACGCGGAACGTTGCCGCGGATTCTCTGCTCACTTGATGCTGCTGGTCCATAAACAGAAAGAAACCGTCGCTGATTTCTTTAACTTCTTCTTACCCTTCAGAATACAAGCGACGAACCTAGCGTTGATGATGAAAGACACTCGGGAAATAACGAACATTGTAAATGTCCCTGGAGACCTCGTCGACAGATTTCTGGAGTTATTAATAGAATTGGAAATATCTATCAGGCAGATTATAATCGTTTTGGAAAGTTGTCCAGTGGAGTCTCTCGCAGATGAGGATTCTCTAGATTTAAATGAAACTGTGGTACCAGTACTGCAAGATGGCAGCGTTTCTAGAGACTTGCTCAGCTCTATGAGAGACTCATTACATTTGGTGCAGAACCTAGCGAAAGAACTGAATGCATGGATTGCCGTCTCGAGACCCGTTAAAGAAAAGAATTCGAAGTTCCTGTTCCATCGAAGGCACCTGGAGTTCTTACGAAAGGGTTACCAAACGATTGAGAGAGTCAAGGAGAAACTGGATGAACTCGGCGGCGCTTTTCATTACAATCATCCTATCTACGACCATGAATTGATAGAAGCGATTAATAATAGCAGAGAACTGTTCAAATCAACGCTTGATTGTATAGAAGATGTCGAGGAGTATAGAATTACTGATTTGGAAGACTTTGAAATGCATCCAGACCACATCACAGGGTCCAGATCGAATGTTCTCAATGCACTGATTAAACAAATTCTTTTGGCTGTTCAAAAGAGGCAGGAGAATCAGAAGTCAATCGAGGTGACGAGTGATGACGTTAACGAGGAAGATTTTAAAGAAAACCTGATGACAGATGAATTAATCGAATCTCTGAGGAACGTTGTCCAGGATTTGAGACTAACTACTGTGTGGGATAGACTGTCAAAGCTAGTAGATGCTATTAATTCTGGGAATGATAGATTGGCGAATATGTACATGAGGTACTTTAGTGGATTATCTGGGAAGCTCGTGCTGATTTTTATAGACATTTAAATTTTAATATACGTGTACCGATTTATTTCTTCATTTTTTAATTGGCAACAATATATCTTTGTTACTCCCTTTGAGTTTTCCTCAGTTCTCATTGGAATTGTACATGTAAACCCAAATGCCTGCTGAAAATCTGCACGAACTTCCTAGACAACCGAATACTTCATTCTCTCTCAGTCAATTATACAAAACTTTGCAAACTATATATTTCTTTTTAGATTACTGTCGCAGTACGTACCTCTCTTACAGCAGTATACCTTACTTCTGCATTATTACTTGTATGAGCAAGTGGCATCCTTCCGGTTAACATGCAAATTCCTGTACCTGCAATTGAACGTATTCCTCGACTTGGCGACCAACGGTTTCTGTCAGCCGGATGACGCGGACGGCGCTCAGGACGAGGGCGAAGGGGGCACCTCCGAGGGAGGGATGGGATTAGCCGAGGGCGAGGGTAAAAAGGACGTCTCAGACAGGATCGAAAGCGAGGATCAACTGGAAGACGCTAGACAACCGAACGAGGAGGAAAAAGAGGAGAAGAAGGACACGAAGGAGGAAGAGAAAGGCATAGAGATGTCGGAGAACTTCGAGGGTCACTTGGAAGACCTCGGGGAACGTGAGGAGAACGAGGACAACGATGAGGATGACGATTTGGATAAGGAGATGGGTGAGACTGACGAAACGGCGGAAAAATTGGACGAAGAGATTTGGAAGGACGAGGAGGAGGAGAATAACGAGGAAGAAAGTCGGGAGGATCAGAAGGAGGAGAGGGGGACCGGTGAGAAAACCGGGCAGGAAGAACTGGGCGCGGGAGACGATAATGAGAAGAGTAATAAGGATGAGGAGCAGAAAGATGGAGACAGGAAGGAAGAAGAGAAAGAGATAAACGAGTTCAAGGAACCTGAAGTGGACGACGATCAGGTGGACCCTTATCACGGTAACACTCAGCCGGAAGTTGAACCGGAAGCGTTCGATCTGCCGGAAGATGTTAATCTTGACGAGGAGGCGAAAGAGGAGGATGGCGCTAACGAAGAAGATCCTTTCGATATTGATCAGATGAAAGACTCCAAGCTTCCAGAAGAGAGGGAAGAGGAGTTGGAAGAGACGAAGGAAGCTGAGGATAACGAGCAGCAGAATTCCAGCGGCGATGAAGACGAAGAAGGAGACCAAGAAGATGCGAACAGAAAGGGTGACGAGAAAACAGCGGTGGATCCTGAAGAGGAGAAAGAGGATGCTGAGAAAGAAAATGAAGAGCAGAATGAGATGGAGGAGGGCGATAAGGCTCCCGCTAGTTTCGACGTGGGTAGCAAGCAAGTTGACGCTTCAGAGGAAGTTCAATCAAAGAAAGATGGTTCCAGAGATGCTGTGGAGAGCCAATCGAATCAAGAACAAATGGACATTGATTCTACGGAAAGTAGTGTGAACGAAAACAAAGACAAAGGTATTTCGGAATTCTTAATAATATATCAACATGCAACTAATAGACAGCGGATTTTATGCATTTTAAGTAAAATTGTACAAGCTTAACAAATACACTATTCATAAAAATTGTAGTATCGAGAATTGCCCAAGTTTTATTTTACATAAAAATCCGCAGTGTACTGATAAGTGCCAGTTATATTAATTATTATCTTTTATCGAAGGAACCGGTCAGTCTCAGACGGAAGAACGCGAAGGTCATTCCGGAGCCAAACAGGAGGAGGACGCTCCCGCCTCCAGCGAGAAGGACTCAAAATCCGCTCCACAGCGAAGGAAACCGGGAAAGAGCGACGAGAACCGCAGTCTTCTCGACGACGACGCTGCATCCGCCCCGAAGAAGTTAAAAACAGACGCGATGCAACGAAATTTAGACCAGGAAGAAGAGGAAAGGGAGAAGCAGAAAGGCGGTGAAAGCGAAGCGTACGAGCATATTGAGAATTCCGAGAAATTCGACGATTACGTTTTCGATGCCGCTACCGAAGAGCAAATCAAAAAGCAGGCGTCGAACTTAGAAGAAGGTGAAGTATACTATTATTTTTCATCTAACTTCTAACAAATCCTAACGTCATTTTCACATACTTAGATAAAGAGAAGCAAGCGGATGATGACGTTGAAATGCACGAGGATACCGAAGAGCCAATGGATCAGGAAGAAGAAACTCGAAAAGAGAAAGCTGAGAAAGTGGCTGACGGTAAAAAGGACAAATCTACGAGCGCCAAAGGCGACAGGTCAGACGAGGTCGAGCAGATCGACTTAACCGGCGAGGTCGAGGGTGAAACTGTGGAAACAACTCGAGTTTTACGAGGAAACGAATCGTCTATCCACACAAAGTTAGATGAAACCGAATCCTTCGATATTTCCACGTGCGATATCGTGCAGAAGAGATCAGAAATCGAGAGTATGTTAGCTAAATGGTCTCAGGGGCCGTCCTCGGTCGAGGCGGCCAATGCTTGGAGCTCGATCACCGCGCTGACAGAATCTGCTGCCAGAGAATTGTCGGAGAAGCTACGATTAGTATTGGAACCGACGCTGACTTCCCGTTTGAAAGGCGACTACAGGACCGGCAGGCGCATAAACATGAGGAAAGTGATACCGTACATCGCCAGCGAGTTCCGGAAGGACAAAATCTGGCTAAGGCGCACGAAACCTTCCAAAAGAGACTATCAGGTCGTATTGGCCATCGACGATTCCAGCAGCATGGCTGACAATCATTCGAAGGAGCTGGCGTTCGAATCGTTGTCGTTGATCGGCAAAGCTATGAGTTATCTGGAAGTCGGCCAGCTCGCTGTTGTCAATTTTGGAGAACGCGTCAACATACTTCATCCGTTTGGGGAGAACTTCACAGATGAAAGCGGCGCTAGGTATTATAATTCAGAAATTACACGGTTTGACAAAAAAAAACCCTTCGACGTGAGAATGTTTTTAAGATTGTTTCTGATCTCGCCAAAGTTATCAATCAATAGTCTTTGGTTTCGTTATAATTTATTTATTATGAGCTTATGCTTAAACGGCTATAATTCTACTTGCATCTCAAAAATGCACCAAAAAAATGCACCAATTTTGCCCAATCAATTCTTCTTCAATTCTACCCAACAAATTGTTTGTAGCAATTCTGCTTCCAGACTCGTTTTTGATTTGAGAAACTCTATACAAAAACATGTAATAGATATTAAAAATACAAATTGTTGTAAAGTATTATTATCTGTTTGCGGATTGTTGAATTTTTTGTTTTGTTTTCGTAGATTGATTCAAGAGATGAAGTTCGAACAAAAGAAGACGATGATTGGGCAGCTGCTTGACTTCATAATAGAGATGTTCGCGTCTCAAGGAAATACCTCCGATAATGCGAAATTGGTAACTATTTTATCGGATGGCAGAGGGATATTTTCTGAAGGAGTGGAAAATGTATCCACGGCCGTGAGGAAAGCGAAATTGTTGAATATTTTCCTTGTTTTCATCATAGTCGACAATCCCCTTAACAAGGTAATCTTTTTTAAATTCAAAATGCAATTTTTATCAATAGATATTATTTATTTTGCATGGAAATCGACAGTCTATTGATCAAAATAATTCTCATCAAATGTGAAATTCCATAAATAATTTCTTAAATAATTATTCACTCTGTCTTTTACAGGATTCAATACTGGACATAAGAATGCCAATTTTTGAAGGTGGTAAACTGTTGGGCATACGTTCTTACATGGACAGCTTCCCATTTCCGTTTTATATTATTCTTAGAGATTTGGATACTTTGCCTGCAGTACTGAGCGATGCTTTAAGGCAATGGTTCGAAATTGTTGGCAGGATCGATACGTGAAATATTATTTTATACATTCTGATTGCGCAATCACTAGACAAATAAACAATTATTTTCGTATTCTTGCGTTGATTTCACTTTTTCTTACTTCGTATTCAGCGACTGTATTGTTTTATGGTCACTAATCAGAATCTTACTATTATACAGGATGTTTCATACTTTTTTTCAAGATTTTAGGAGCAATGCTCTTGGACTCAGTGTTCTCGAGCATGAACACAAGTGAGAATAACAAAGAAATGTTATAGAAAGCTTATTTGTAAACACTTAGTTACAAAATTATAGACAAACATCAAATGTAGCCTGAATAACTTACGATTTTATTTAATAATCACAATTAAGGGAGCAGTCAACCGAAAAATGAGTTTCTATGATCTTTTCTTTCAATGTTACAACAGTTTAAAGAAATCCCTTAATTTCCGTTTTTTTTGGGGTCATTCCTGATGTTTAAACATCAGATTTTATGCATTTATAAAAAAACGGAATGTAGCAAAATTGTTAATGTTGCGTGTAATGTAAAAAACTATGCAAACGGTATATTTATTTATAAAACGAGCTACATTATTAGGATTAATTAATTCTATACATGATAATTTATGCGATCGAACCCGCAACGGGTCGTATTTTTTTTAATTTCGAAATCGGTATTTCAGGACTCTACTATTCGACTCGATCATCTGCACACTTTGTATATGAATGTGTATGTCAAAGGCTGCACCTGCACATGCCTCCAGTGTTTTCGATCATTTTTTATGATCGTACATCGACTAACTAATATTCTGTATCGAAAATTTACTTCTACTCGCGTTGTATAATTTATTTCGAAGTCGGGATGAGTCTAACAATAAAGTGTAGTAAATTACTAAACTCGGTTAATCATGTGTACAAAATGGGAGGTTATTATGCTTGTCGAAGCTTCATTACTGTCGAGGAGGCTAAAAACATAAAATGGTACAAGCCTGCGAGAGTGCCTCATATAGATCCTAGACAGACTGGTGATTTAGGATTAGAAGTAAACGTGAAACCTACTGACACCATACTTTACTATAAAAACTCCAAAGAGTTAGAGGAGTAAGTATGACCTTGATTTCTTATTATCTAAGCCTCTGTTATTATTACTTATTAGACTGCGAATATTTATGCAAACTCTTGTTTTTATGAATATGCCAGCCAACAATGTATTAAAACAAGCTATTAAAAAATGACTTTGTCAATGTTGCAGCGCAAGTGATATTGTGAAGAAGATGTTTACAGTAGAATACCGGGGGTTCAAGGAGTATAGGAACCTGAAGAGAGAGGAAATAATAAATCGCGTCAAAAGACACGTTTCCGACAGAGGCTCGGTGGAGGTCCAAATTGCTGCTATGACAAGCGAAATACAGGATTTACAAAAGTACATGGAAGTACACCCGACTGATACGAAGACCAAAGTGTTTCTTTCAGAGTTGATCGATAAAAGGAAGAAGTATCTAAAATTCCTACGCAATTGGGACTACAGGCGCTTCGAATGGGTTCTAGAAAATTTAAATCTGACCTATATAGGACCCCCGGAGTACGATACATTTTATCTTATTACCTATGCACATGACGACTTTTTTGTTCAGTTCGACAGGCGCCCACTGATTCGATGCTAGTACTCTCTCAAATTTATATTTGCCAAATTGAGTATTTGCCAATACTCTTTTTCGAATTCAATAATTGCCTCTTCGTAGATACATTTTATATTATACCATTTTTGCAAAACAAATAACATACTCTCTTTCAAATTAGGGTTGTATCAACCCTTACATAAGAACAAAGAAAAAGCATTTATTACTGCCTTTATATATGTGGGAATAGGTAACAAAATAATTAGCACTGGTGATTTCACAAGAAGATTTATTCAGATCAATTGCGTGCGTCCGTACACTCGAGAGACTTCCGCTCGAATGCCTTTGTCCCGTTGAACAGACGTCCAACGGCTCTCCCTTATCTCTTCTCAGAAGAATCGCTTTTCTAAAGAAGAACGTGTATAAACATTTCCCAAAAGGGCCATGTGGCCCGTCGCTAGGCCAGTCCGCCACATATATTTATATAAAAACATTTTTGAGACACAAGATTTCAAACAGCACGTAGCGACGTAGGACCAATTACGTGCGACCAACGAACTGCGCATGCG